TTTTAAATAAAATATTATAAAAAACATTAAAAACTATAAAAAGTGTTAATAAGCTATACTTTATAAAATATAGGGTTCGTACGACCCAAGGGGTCGTACGGCGAAAAGGGTGGTAGGGGGTCCAATATCTGTTAATTAAACGGCTACAAAGTTTAAGTAGGTAGGGTTAATCGGCTCCGCTGATTGCCAGGCTATATACAGGTAGGTCAGGTGACCGCAGGTCTTAGACCTTCCAGGGGCTTCCAGGGCTGCGCCCGAAGCACCTGGCTATCCGTACAAATATTGTTCTAATAAAAAGCTTTATAATTATAATAATTATTTAAATAAACAATATTAAATTTTTAATAATTAAAAATAATATAGTAAATAATTAGAAAAAATTAAAACTTTTATATAATTATATAATTATATAAACTATTTAATATAAATATATATTTATTTTAAATAAATTTAAAATTATATACTTTAAAACTAACAACTTTAAAATAATAATAAATTTTGTTTATAATTAATCATAATTTTTCATTATTCTAATTTTAATTTTTAATAGTCACTTTTTAAGCTTAAATAGAAACCTTTGAAATTTTCATTTCTTGCATATTTTAATGAACATTGTAATTTCTAAATTATACTTACACTGGACTAAAAGCGATCCAGATTCATCACCTTGTCCCACACTGCTACAAAGTCCTTGACAAACTTAGCATTGCCATCCGCGCTGCCATACACCTCTGCAATTGCCCGCAGCTCCGCTTGAGCGCCAAAGATCAGGTCGACGCGTGACGCCGTCCACTTCTTCTCCCCCGTCTTAAGATCGAAACCCTCAAAGACTTCGTTGTCGGCATCAGTGGGTTTCCAGGATGTGTTCACATCCAATAGGTTTACAAAGAAGTCATTTGTCAACAGGCCAGGTTGCTGGGTTAGAACGCCAAGGGTAGATCCATCGTAGTTAGCGCCTAGAGCACGAAGACCACCCAGCAGCGCCGTCATTTCGGGAGCCGAGAGCGTCAGTAGCTGTGCCTTGTCAACCAACATGGCTTCTGTCTTCACTCGCGGCGTGGATTTGCCATAATTTCGGAAGCCGTCGGCGAAAGGCTCAAGGTGCCCAACAGACACCACGTCTGTTTGCTCCTGAGAAGCATCCATACGCCCGGGCTTGAATGGAACGTGAGTACCAGATGCCTTCTCCACGCCAGCCACGCCAGCCAGTACGATCAGATCAGCTAGTGACACCTTCTTATCCCCGTTGGCATCATTGAAGCGTTTCTGGATACCTTCCAAGGCTCCGATGGACTTGTCCAGCTGCAGATGGCTATTTACCTCCCAATCACGCTGCGGAGCCAGACGGATACGCGCACCATTGGCACCACCGCGCTTGTCACTGCCACGGAAGGTGGAAGCTGACGCCCAAGCTAGTGTCACCAAATGAGATGTGTTCAACTCGGCTGCTAGGATATCCTTCTTTAGGGCCGCGATGTCCTGGTCGTCGACGAGAGCATGATTCACGGGTGGAATGGGATCCTGCCACAGAAGAACCTCTTTGGGAACCTCTGGGCCCAAGTAGAGCAACGATGGGCCAAGATCGCGGTGCAACAGCTTGAACCAGGCGCGCGCAAATGTGTCCGCGAACTGGTCCGGGTTCTCCAAGAACCGCCTTGAAATCTTCTCGTACTCGGGGTCAAAGCGGAGTGCCAGATCAGTAGTCAGCATCCTAGGCGGGTGCTTCTTATTGGCATCGTAGGCATCGGGAATAATGGCATCGGCATTCTTGGCCACCCACTGATGCGCGCCGGCGGGACTCTTAGTCAACTCCCACTCAAAACCGAAGAGATATTCAAAGAAGTTATTGCTCCATTTTGTGGGCGTCTTGGTCCAGATGACTTCCAGACCGCTGGTGATGGTGTCCGGGCCCTTACCCGTTCCGTGCTTGTTGCTCCAGCCAAGACCCTGCTGCTCAATAGCAGCAGCCTCTGGCTCTTTGCCAACGTTGACGGCAGCAGGAGCGGCGCCGTGGGTTTTACCGAAACTATGTCCACCAGCAATCAGGGCAACAGTTTCCTCGTCATTCACTAGGGTCGTCAAGTTAGCATCAGTAACCTCAAATAACAAAACCACCACCGGCAGTAACCAGCCAACATGATGATCTCGAAGACGAGAGCGGATGAGAGCAAGGTTGAATAGCAGACTTAGCATATGACGAGTGAAGGGGGACGAGATATCTTGCTCGAATATAAAGTGACCATAACTTACTTGCCATGCGGCCAAATGTATCACGGATATCGACGGCTGCCGCAACAGGATCCGGAGTGCCATCAGGCCCTTCAGGGTTTACGTAGATGAGACCCATATGGGCAGCAGCCAGCGGTTTCTCAAGATCGCGAGAGTGCACTTTGCTCTTGGGGCCCTCGTCGGCGACAACGACACCATGATTGGAGGAACCGGCGTAGCCTTCGGCATAGCGGACGTTGTTGCCTAACCAAGTGGTCTCGCCGCCCCAATAGGGTGTTTCGTCAGCCTCCCAGGTGTCCTCGCGGCCACCAGCGAAGCCAAAGGTCTTGAAGCCCATGGATTCGAGAGCAACGTTGCCGGTGAGCAGAAGCAGATCGGCCCAGGAGATCTTGTTGCCATACTTCTGCTTGATAGGCCACAGCAGGCGACGAGCCTTGTCAAGGCTCACGTTGTCAGGCCAGCTGTTCAGGGGAGCGAAGCGCTGTTGGCCCTGGCCACCACCGCCACGACCATCATAGACGCGGTAGGTGCCGGCGCTGTGCCAGGCCATACGGATGAAAAGACCGCCGTAGTGGCCGAAATCAGCCGGCCACCATTCCTGAGAGTCGGTCATGAGATCATGTAGGTCTTTCTTGAGAGCGGCATAGTCGAGGGTCTTGAAAGCGGCAGGGTAGTCAAAGTCCTTGTCTAGAGGGTTGGAGGACGGGTTGTGTTGGCGAAGGACGTTCAAGCGTAGCTGCTCAGGCCACCAGTCGCGGTTCCTAGTGCCACCACCGGCCACATTGGCCTTCACGGGACACTCGGAGGGATCTGCTGCCATGGTGATGCTCGAGGTGTGGAAGGCAGTAAGTTGGACTCGCGCGCAAATACTACGCGGGGTGTAAGTGTAAACTTGGGATTGGAGAGTGGCAAGAGTACGAGACCAGGACTTTAGCATACCAAGCCCAGAATAGGACAAAGGGGAAGAGGAAAATAGAAGAACAAGAAGAGGTGGAGGAGGAGGAGAGATGGTCAGGTTTTGAGAAGGATTGTCAGCAGCGGACAACCCCGCACTTTATAAGCAGCAACGTAAGAGCAGTCAGTGGCAGTCGACGCCATCGGACCATTGCGTGACATTCGTACTGTAGATAAATTCCTCAGACATTGTCTAGTTGGTTGGTAGGTTGAAAGCAGAAGGTCTATGCACATGTGCATGCAGGGACGATATTCTAGGTACATACATACAGTAGGTACCTAGGTAGGTGTAGGTAGTACGTGGTACACCTACATGTAGTACACCTGGTACCTACCTACCTACCTTACCTTACCTGTACATATGTAGCTATGTAAGAGGAGGAGGGTGGAAGTTGGAAGGTGGAAGGTGGGAGGTGGAGGGTTGGAGGGGTCGGCATCTACGGAGATACTGTAGGTTGCCCCTGGGCTGTCTCTAGGCTGTCTCTAAGCTGTCTCTGAGCTGTCTTGGCTGTGTTTCTCCCCCCTCCCCCACCCCCACCTCCACCTCCATCTAGCTCTGCCCATCCGTGAAGAACACGCGGGTTGTCCGGGGGTGGTTCGGCAAGTGTGGGCTTTTTTTGCCACGTTTGGATCGGATGTAAAAGCAGCCTACCTGCATTACCCCTCTTCCTCTTTTCACATTCCATTACTATGTTTCTGGCGCGTCCCACCACTCCTTTTACTAATGGGTGCCCTTTTACGGGACATGCATGCATGGATGATCTGTTCGTGTTGCTACCCAGAATTCCCTTATTGAAGTCATCAGGTTATGCCGATGCCGGTGCCGGTGCCGCTTCAAGTTTGCTTGTGAATATGTCTTGTGCCACATACCATCGAATTAGTATGTAATAGCTCTCCCTGCCATTCGCTTCCAGATAATTCATACACGATCTAGGAGATTCAGATCGTCAGCTCTCAGCCAAGGCTAATTAATGGTATCCCGACAACCACCTGTTGAACTCTCATCGCATAGCTAGGACAGCTGGCCGTTCCAACATCGAAGAGCTTTTTCATCACGTCACAATAGTAGAGTTGAAGCCATAAAAATAATACCTACCAGAATGATATCAGGTAAAGCTACCTAGGTAGCCATACATAACCCCCGGCTTCCGGCTGGGTGCGGCAAGACATTTTGGGGGGTCGAATGTAAGTTCCCGGCTAACATCAATCGATTGAAAGGTAACCCCTACTACATAGTAGATGATGGATCAGCGATCAAGCGCATTACTATCAATTGCCTAGGTGGTTGCTCATTCGGAATGATTTCGGAATACATTCGGCACAGTCATTGGACCTCGTCGTCTGTGTCACGGCAGTACGTTGGTCCTGTTATGCTGTGAATTATCTAGTGCAAGGTGGAAGCCAAAGGTAGAGTCTTATTAGCCGACATGGCCTGCCGTGCTCGTCTTATCTCCGAGGTTGATCCTATCTAAGTGCTGCTATAGGTAGTCCTTAGGTGCCAAATCAGCACCAACATATTTTGACACGACGGGGTATACAACAAACACCCTTACTATTAACAAAAGAGCATATAAAAATCAATAGCTAGGTGTTATCTCCGGTACTTCCGCCACTTACAGAATGAAGGCCAATATAGAAGTGTAGTTTAATACAGTGCTTTTATTAGCTACATAACGTTGTATAGGCATCGTCACAACTTTGGTGCTAGGCACAGTAGCTAGGTGGAGGTCAAACAAACGGAGTTAAGAGCAAAAATGTATTATGAGGGGTTGAAAATAATCATCACGAAAGGTTCATAGAATCATATGATGATATGTTGACCACGCTGGGGGTCGAACCCAGAATCTCCTGATTGCTATGAAACACTCATTACTGAAATATCTCGTAGTCAGACGCCATGCCATTAGGCCACGCGGCCGAATATGTGATTTGTTCAAGAAACTGCATATTAATACGCTGAAGATGCAGAATCCTGTAAGAAAGACCTTTAGGTGCCAGCCCAACCCACTATTGGGTTCATAGGTAATTACATCTTTACCTTGGCATGTTTGAGCTACTTATGTATTCGGAAGCTTATTGCACAATATCTATATGCTACGTAGGAAATAGACTGTATCTACTGGTGTACTACGCGCAGGGAATAATAACGCATCTAATAGTTACATACTTGTCAACAATTAACGTTGATTATAAGAGAGTGCTCCCGTTGAGGTGGGCTACTCGAATTTTGCTTGTATGCCAGGCAAAAAGTTTTAACCGCCTGGTCAAGTTGTTTTCTCTGCTGAACTAGCAGATCTTATCGGCAGCATCGCGATAAGTCCATGACTTCATTAAAAGTTGCGCTCAAGCCTCCCCTGCAAAGCCCTTGTTACTGGCGCTAGACAGGGGCAATACGAGATTAATAGGGATAAACTAACCCTTAAGGCGTAGTATTCATTAATTCCCACGATGTACCGCTAATGATCGTTATTGAGCTTAAATACAAGGTTCTTGTTGGTCTCAATGAAAGTATGCCACATAGAGCAAAAAACCCCCATCTTGCACGTTAGAATATAGCACAGAAGTTCATTCAATAGCATCCGATACCAATACGAACAAAGTCAGAACGCAAAAGTATTGTTGTGGGCCCACCCTCACGGAATGCCCTCTGTAGCAAGTAGTATTGCCTCACAGCCTTCCCTATATGTCAGGTTATGATTGAACGGTTTGGCGGGAAACAAGTCCACGTTCAGGTCTCTTTTTCATTGGCTGACTGATATTTGACTATACATTCCAATCATTCAAATTGTCACAAGATTCGTGGGGTTCGTTTAATTTAACACTTGTCAGCTACGTTCCGTGTGTGGTAATATTAGTGAAGCTAGCTCATCTTCATACTGTAATAAATGAGGATTAAGTTGTATAGATAATCGTTAGTGTATTTGAGACCTCTTGATATAAAGCTAACATTAAACTCGCTGAGATTATGGGCTTCGTCTTTACCGCCAGGCCTAACTTTGGCTCGATCAGCTATAGGGCTCCCACCTAAAGTTGAGTGTGTCATGGAGTTTTGTAATGCCGCGAGCAACAATACACTCACTACATAACAGCAAGTTCTAACCGACTCTGAGATCTCAGCCTACCTGTAAGAAATACATGAAGTCCTAAGCAGCCTTAGGCGTCTTTGCCGCTGTTTTTGTAGTGGTCTAACATGACACTTCGCTTGACTACGATATAGCCAGGGCCGGTAGGGCTGGTTCACTATCGGCCATTGTCCTCTCGGAGAATCCCATCATAGCAGTCTCTGTGCTTGAAGCTAGGATATATAATAGATCAGAAAGCAACACCACTACTCTAGAACTTAGGGGTGAGCACTTTCTTCTAGTGTCTTATATTTTGCCTATTTGGCAAGGACGGCGGGGACTTCGAAACAAAGAGTACCATTTGGCAAATTGGACGATTCGTCAGCTAAATCAGGGTGATATAAGCGCAGCTAGATCTCAGCCTATGCCGAGAGGCAAAATGCTCGGTGGTACATCCGCTATGATCCACAACAGACATCCGCATCCAACTTGACATCCAGGATAACCCGCTCATCCTTACCGAATGGAACTAGTATTTATTTTCCACTGCCTACCGCGAGGGCAAAACCATGTACTATCCACCTCTTATATATCAAAAAGTATTTCCAATATGACGCGACGAGTTACGGCGGTCAGTGTCATATTCCGTCTGTATCTCAACAAAGCGTAATGGATCCTTTCCCTTAATATCTCAACTCTGGATATCGAGTGACCCGAGAGAGAGAGATTGTGGTGATGCGGTCGAGTGTGGGTTCTCACCGCTGGCGATTAACCCTGCAAATCACATCGGGTTGTACTCCAGCTCAATTCCAATGCCTCACTCCACATACAGAGGCGACATTCATCCTAAGAGCAGGCTGTGTACGGCCCTCACGGATCCTTGAGCTTTAGGGCATCGGCGATCCTTATATCCTCTACTCTCTTGAGGTATAGGATTGGTGAATCTATCGAGTATCGGTGTAGGGTTAAGAAACCTGTGAGACGTTTCTGCTTTAGGGCGAAAAGGGGGATGATAACTCACTATTCTCCAGCGCAATAAGAACTATCAGCTTGTATTCTTCACTTTTGATACGAAAGTGATAGGAAGGGTTTTCTCTTCTATTTACGATGACGGAACAGAAAGAAATAACAAGGGGTGACCACCAACTGTAGCTTTGAATAAAGTCATCTCCTATCTTTAGGCTAGTATCTCGCCTCAAGATTGGCACGCCGAAAATCTCACACATTTCATCAAGACTAGAATCTACTGAGTCTGAGTGTCACATTCTAACTCGGGAGCGCGCGCTATGCCCATACCGTGTACTACGCAGCAGTTCCTACTTAGTTAAACGGGACGGATAGTATTCCCAGCGTGCCGAGAGCATAGTTCGAAGTGTTCCAGGCACTCTGATTTGGTTACTAGCCCCCGATTGAGATGACATGACAGTACCAGTATCCTGGCGTTACACCTTATAGCCCGATAACACTCAATCCAGGGACTGTTCACATCACCAGTTCTGAGCCTGATGACCCACCGACCAACAACCCTAACTGCAATTGTATCAACGCCACTAGAAACAGGATGGTCGTGGAATAGGATACGTGGTTACTGACCAAGGCCACACAATATCGTCAGGCGAAAGCCTTCAAGACCTTGCAGATGAGTAATAACATTGCCTCTATATATCCCTCGTGTAATAGGCCGTATAGCGGTGATTTCCCGGATGTGAAGTGGCAGACCGGCACATCTGAACATTTCGCAGGCGTTAATCTCATATTAGCACGAGAAGAAGGCGTCGTCGTCGAGACCAACCTCTTTGTTTACGGGGCTTGCAACGTTTGAATTGCTGACAACTCGTTATCCCCTTACCAACTGTATGCGCGTCAAATGGCGCTGACACGTGTATCTAGCTCAACATAAAATTAGCATATCGAGGATAAGCCTATACTGATGAGCCATGGTGTGTACAACGTTCAACTGATTTACCAGCTGAGTCTACCTGTTTAGCGCCGAACAAATGAAATAAGCAGCCAAAATAGCGTGATACTATTAACTGCTTGAAGACTTACAATGCTCTAATTGACCTACAAGAAAACAAAAGGTAAGCATTATACCTTGCTGTTGAACCAATACTGGCGATAGACGTAAGAATGTTCACACTTGGTTAATATAGGCTTATATCAAGGCATTAGAAGAGATGTTCGCTCTTAGCTGTGAGGCTCGTTATCACTGCATGGCGGTCTTTCGTGTCTTCGTTGCTTGACCCATGTCTGTTGTCTCATGAATGTGCTCTTGCTTCTGATCGACGAGGCATGCGCGGATGACCAGGGTGCCCCAAGCCAATATTATCTCTTCTACGACCTTAATCGCAGTGATGATCTCGGCTCACGGCCGCAAGTAGTCCCGCTTGTCTTACCATCTCCCGACAAAACTATAAGAATAAGCATAGGAAGCCAGATTTTGCGTATTTCGACGACAAAGTACCGGAATCACCTCTAGAAAGAGAGAGGGGTTGTAACGTTTACATTATTGTTAGTCTGCCTTTTGATATACACTGCAAAATTCGCAAGTATACGTTGCGGCTGTCTCGTCAGCTAAGAGTTTCAATCGATGTGTGGTTGTTCATTTCATGGGCTTCATATAGGCGAAGAGTTTGACTGTCGAAGAGTTACCGAACGAGCTAGAACTCGCGCGCCTCGTGGCCATATTTGCTGGTTCCAAACCGCCGAGGGGGATCTAGTGTACGTATGCGAATATCGCCTCGTGAATGGCACGCGACGCTGGCTCGCAGCGGACTTTAGCAACCCTCTACGCTAGTTCAATGGGAGATACTAGGTTTATCCCTATCTCCCTGTTTGCGGGTATCTGAGTTTAGTAGGTCAACGAAAGAGTGATTAGGAGTACGACTATTATTTGTATGATCCTCACTTTAGATACTAGGCCGCTACCACTTATCACATGATAGCCATGAGTTGATGGCTCAATCATTATTTCCAGACTGTAATTACCATTCGACATTTGTCCAGGTAAGAGAGAGGCGTTGATGTTGATAGAGTGGTCTTTATGCGCCAATACCGAGTTGTTTTTGCCGACCGGCTGCGGTCCGGTTCATGGACTAGAAGGACCAAAGGAACATGGACTTTACTCTCATATTCCCGAGTTTGTGGAAGACCAGAGTGCGCTGTATGAGAAACATGGGGTAGGCAAAGTAATATAAACTTTAGGTAGTGCTTACGTTGTTAAGTCGCTTTTAACACGATACTTTATACGCTTGCAACCATCAGGAATGCGACGGTACCAATCCCTCTACTCCAACTTTCTTGCCCTGCTCCATCAATTAGCACAAGGAAATTAATACATCGGAGGAATGAGGATTCACCTGCAAGGTGATGTTCGAATCACATTGTCTCTTCCGCTTAGCTGAGAATCTGGTAATGATATCGGGGGAAATAAGTAGCAAGCGGTTAATATCACTCGCTTGCGTCTCACCTAAGCTATGCGCGTCTGGACCACATCAAAACCCACCGCTGAGCCGGACGAGAACCGGTTATGAGTATCGCGGGGTAAATACAACTTTGCCGTCCCTCAATGGCAGTCTCACTGCCGACCCAGTGGCCCTAATGACGTTCCTATAAAGAAACCAATGGGTGCTCCAAGCAACCCGTTGTTACTACCTGGGCGGTTTTTGCCTGAAAAGGGCATATTCTCGAGCGTCTAACCTATGACTAGCTTCCCCCTGACGATCGTCCATAAACTCATGTATTAAGGCCACCGCCCGAGCTATCGACAGTACGAACGGTGTTTGATTGTCTGAACTTGTTTCTGTGACGACAAGATAGGTCCTACGGAGTCAATATGACGAACAGTTCAAACGAT